ATTCTCCACACTGTAATAATCTTTATAAAATATAAGGATGATTATGGAGTTATTCCTCTGCCTAAAAATAGTTCAGTGATATATCTGTTAGGCTTTTGTTCATGTTATCTCCACCTAGAATCCTTTCCTATTTGATTTTTGAAAGGCTGGCTTCCTTTTATTGAGATACCGGCTTTTAAGATAGATGCTGATGGCATATGCTTGTAATCTCAGTGATTTAGGAGGTTGAGGCAGGAGGATCACAAGTTCAAGGTCAGTCTCAGCAGTTTAGTGAGACTCTCAGCATCTTGGACTCTGTATTTCAAAATAAAAGGGACTAGAATGCTCAGTGGAAAATTGTCCCTGGGTTCAATCCCGTACCCCATAGCCCTACCAAAAAAAGAAAGAGAGAGATATACAAGCTTTTAAATGTCATCTCTTCTGAGAGGCATTCCTCAGACTGATTAATAATTTTAAAAGTAGTCACCAGATATTTTCTATTCCATTATCTTATTCTTTGAGTAATACTTAGTACTATCTGATATTTTTCTGATTTATTTGCATATTTGTTTATAGTATTCTTTAATTAGAATTTGGCCCTTTTTATTGTCATTCTACTTACTTGATCACCTTTGGTAATTCCAGTGTTTGCCAGGATGAATTTCTAACATGCTTGACTTGAATCATCTAATGTGCTTGTGTTTAGTTTCCAAATCATGTTCATGAAACTAGAGTAAACCTGACAGGGGACTTGCCCATGAAAGGGACATGTATGCTTAGGATGAAATGGAGAACCAGTGTAGGAAGATTGTTAACTCAGGTAGGAAGATTGGCTGAAGACAGAATAACTGAGAGTGGAACAAAATTGTAAGCAAGGTGAGAAGCAAAAGGCCTGAGGGATAAGGCGAGGCAAAGATGAAACAGGAAGCTGAACCATTAGGTCAGAAACCTAGAGAATCAGGATAGTGTAAGCAGGGACAGGGCCAGCAGTTCAGGATTAGGGTCATAAATCAACTTGGGGACTACTTAAATCATCTTTTAGTAGTCTTACCTTTTTCATCTAGAAACAGCTTTTGAATTATCAGGTCATTGACCTACAAGTGTTTGAGTGAGATTGCATATTCTTTTCTTTGTATTTTATTTGCTATTTATTTTAAAATCAAAGTCTACCTTACCTATCCTCCCTCAGATTCTGCTACCAGATTCTGTTACCAGATTCTGTTTTGTATTCCTTTAAATATATCAGGTTCAACTATCTCTGAAATAAGTTTCTTATATGAAAGCCTGAAGCAGTCCTGGAGTTCCATTCAGGTAGGATGAAAGGAGGGAGCACTCCTCAGACCATCTCTTCCCACTGAACCAGGCATAGGAGCTCAGCAGCCTCAGGAATTCAAGACTCTGTTGAGACTGAATCTGGAATTTTGGGAGGGTCATAAGAGTTTAGACTATAGGAAGGAATTCTATCAATGAAGCATAGTCAGAATTAGTAGAAGACTGAGTAGATATGTGTAGATGGCAGGATCTAAGGGTGTGGAGTAGATTTCAAGATTTCTGATCTGGAATGGTCCTCAAATTAGGCAATGTTAGGGGCTCTGATATACCAAGTAGAGAGTCATTAGTAGTACTAGTCCTTAGCCCTTAGATGTTTTTTGTATTTTACTGTGTAGCCTAGAGCTCTTCTATATGCTGAGAAGGAGTCATGAGAGTAGAAACAGTACTAACTGAGAGCAGAAGTAGTTTCTCTCTCTCTCTCTTTTTTTTTTTTTTGGTACCAGAGATTGAACCCAGGGGTGTTTAACCACTGAATCACATCCGCGGCTCTTTTTATTTTGAGACAGGGTCTTGTAAGTTGCTTAGGCTGGCCTTGAACTTGTGATCTTCCTGCCTCAGTCTCTGTAGTCACTGGAATTACAGGCATACACCACTACACTCAACGAACAGTTTCTCTTTTGAAGGTTAGATGGAGTGGTTGTGTGTGCAGAGTGGATAGTCTATAGCCAGTCATCTGGCCTGTGTAAGGCAAGACATCTACACTCCCCTTCTAGGGCTCTGTTGGGAAAATTAGGCTAAGAGTCAGCAATCGTGACCATTGTTCATGATTTCCCCATGTATTCCTGGTCTTTGCTTATCCCGCTGCTCTAAGCTCCAGGCTCTGATGTTCTGCCTTCTCTTTTATGGTTTAAGGCCTTCAAATTGCATATTCATTCTGAATTCTCCTTCTAGATTATTCACTCCATACCCAGCTTGGCTTTGCCCCTATATCATCCCCTAATTTTGACATTGCTATCCAGGTTTAAGTAAGGGCCTTCCTCCATTAACCCTGTTTCTAGAGCTATTATTTTTAAACTTTAATGTGTAGAAATTACCCATGGAGTCAAGTGGGAGCCTGGATACTTGTTTAAAACAGACTCCTGTTCTCTTCCTAGATATTCTGATTCATTAGATGTGAAATGGTGACCAGGAATCTAGTTTGATCATCTTCCAGGCTGATTCTGACCCTTGACAGAGGTCCCTGTCAGCTCCTCATCCCTAAAAGAGCAAGAAGAGAATTTGAATCCTTTATTTGGGTTTTAAGATCCTAGAACCATAGTCTTGTTGCCTGTCATGCAATGATGACAGTGTCTTATATTCTGTCCCTCCATCTCCTATGAGAGTGCCAGAACATGAGACACCGTAGGAACAGAGCCCAGGTGAGGTGGAAGACCTTAATATCTCTCCAATTGCAGATCAGTATCTTTGGGGTTTATAGAGAACTTTGGCACTGGACTTAGAGAAAGTAGGTTAATGTAGACCCTGAGGCTGCCAGTCACACTTCAGATTTGCCTCTGGAGTTCTTCTCATTTTTATTTACATTGACTGTGCTCTGACATTGGTTTTCCTTATCTAACCTTGAAGCTGCCCTCACTCTCCATTGTGGCCATCTTCTATACTGCTTCCATCCATCTTTCTATGGACAACTTGATGTTATCTTTCTCCTTTAAAATCTTCTGTTACATCCCTATTACCTATATACTCAAGTCCAAATGTATCAGGTTGGAATAAACAATCATGAACAATTTGGCCCAAACTGTCTAAAGATCTGCAATATCTTATGTTTCTCCAATCTCATTCCAGGCTACTCTCCTCCTTCCTTACTCCTACCTTCACTTGCTTACAGTGGCTTGATCATTTTTCCAGCTATTTCTGGCCTCAGGGCCTTTGCAATACCATATGGCCTCTGCCTGGAATACTTTTTACCTTGTACTTTATCTCATTAACTATCCTTTGACTTACCATGTCAACTAATATTAGTATTTGTATAAAAAAGAGGGCAACTTTGTATATCTGTATAATCTCCTCTTAGAGATCTTTTTTGGCCACTGTATATCAAGAAACTATCTTAGTCTTCCATTGGCTTTAGTCAGATCACTTAATGCTATTTACCTGTTTGTCTTTCTCTCCTTTTAGATTATAAGCTCCATGAGGGCAGGGGTCTTCTTGTTCATGATTGTATTTTCAGTACCTTTTGCATAAAGCCACTCAATAAGTCCTTGTTGACTAATCCATATTTTTGTTTTCTTTTTAGTATCTGTTTTGCTGCATTGTGGCTCTGCACAGCTCTTGCCCTTTGCATAAGCTGTTGCCTGTCCCAGAAACACCCTTTCTCTTATTAACTTGTCAGATTGCTTCTTGTCCTCTACTGTTTCTTTAAGCATTTTTTTTTTTTAATTTTTTATTGTGGGTTGTTCAAAACATTACAAATTTCTTGACATATCATATTCCACACTTTGATTCAAGTGGGTTATGAACTCCCACCTTCACCCCATACACAGATTGCAGAATCACATCAGTTACACATCCATTGATTTACAAATTGCCATACTAGTGTCTGTTGTGCTTCGCTGCCTTTCACATCCTCCCCCCTCCCCCCTCCCCACCTCTCCCCTCCCCTCCCCTCCTCTCTCTCTACCTCCTCCACTGTATAACCCTGAGGGTCTCCTTCCATTACCATGCAATTTCCCTTCTCTCTCCCTTTCCCTCCCACCTCTCATCCCTGTTAAATGTTAATCTTCTTCTCATGCTCTTCGTCCCTACTCTGTTCTTAGTTACTCTCTTTATATCAAAGAAGACATTTGGCATTTGTTTTTTAGGGATTGGCTAGCTTCACTTAGCATAATCTGCTCTAATGCCATCCATTTCCCTGTAAATTCTATGATTTTGTCATTTTTTAATGCAGAGTAATACTCCATTGTGTATAAATGCCACATTTTTTTTATCCATTCGTCTATTGAAGGGCATCTAGGTTGGTTCCACAGTCTTGCTATTGTGAACTGTGCTGCTATGAACATCGATGTAGCAGTGTCCCTGTAGCATGCTCTTTTTAGGTCTTTAGGGAATAGACCAAGAAGGGGAATAGCTGGGTCAAATGGTGGCTCCATTCCCAGCTTTCCAAGAAATCTCCATACTGCTTTCCAAATTGGCTGCACCAATTTTTTTGACCTTCCCAGGTTGTGCTGGTTCAACAGAGACAGTGTTTTGTTCCTCTTGAATAGGTTTTCTCACCCTGTGTTGTGATTTTGCCTATGTGAAAGATAGGTGGTATTGCCAGTTTTATAGGTGACCAACTGGAGGCTCTGAGAGATTAATTAACTTGAAAATAGGAAATCTGATAATTTGAACCCTGAGAAGCCCTGTTCTACTTCACTATGCTCCCTCCAAAAAAAAAAAAAAAATCAGCAGATATAGAAACACTGAAGTCAAAGGGGTGCTTATTATTATTATTAGTTAGGAAAACTACTGTGTATGCTCTTTAAAGTATCCTGAGAGTTAAACACAGTAAAATAAGTAATATTGATAAGCCATTAGTAGGGATAATAGAGAAAAAGGGTGACTGTAGTGTTCAAAGGATGATGTATATTTCATGTATTTTCTTGGTCATATCCTTGGTGACTTTTTTTTTTTTTGGCTACTGGGATTGAATCCAGGGTTGCTTTACCATGGAGCTACCACCCCAGCCCTTTTTATTTTTTATTTTGAGACAGGGTCTTGCTAAGTTGCTGTGGCTGGCCTTGAACTTGTGGTCCTCCTTCCTCAACCTCCCGAGTCGCTGGAATTATAGGTATGCACAACTGCGCCCAGTTCTCCTTAGTGTCTTCTTGTGATTCTGAGAAAACTAACCTACAGCTTGGTAGAAATGATGTGGAGCACTATTAAATTCAAACCAAAGCAGTTATCAATAATTAACTCATGATTTCTTAGAGGATATATGAAGAATGACGTCTGAACATTTTTTTTTTTTTTTGAGGGGAACAATGTGTAGAGAGCCATCAGTACATTTTGCTTAAAAATATATGGGCTAGGGGTGTAGCTTAGTGGTAGAGTGCTTATCTGGCTTGTGTGAGGCCAGATAACAGCAATAACAACAGCAACAAAACATTGATAAAAACTAGTTGAATAAATTATAATGGATATGTTAGCTTTCATTGCTGGGACAAATTAGTTGAGAAAATCAATTTAAATAAAGAAAGATTTATTTTGGCTCATGGTCTCAGAGGTTTCTGCCCCTGTTTGGCTGGCTCCATTGTTTTTGGGCCTGTGGTGAAGCAGTACATCATACTGAGGAGGGTGTGGTGGAACACAGTCACTCACCTCATGGTAACCAGGAAGCAGAGAGAGGGAAAGGGGCTATGGACAGGATATAGTCTCTAAGGGCATGCCCCTAAGGGCTCTGAACCAACTGGATTCTATCTCCTACAGTTTCTACCCCTTCCCAATAGTCTATTTAGCTTTGAATACTCAGTGAATTAATTCGTTGATGAGGTCAGAGTCCTCATGATCCAATCAGTTCCCATAATTCCCAGTTTTGAACAGTGCTGCATTAAGAATAAGTCTTCATAGGCTGGGGATGTGGCTCAAGCGGTAGCGCGCTCACCTGGCATGCCTGCGGCCCCGGGTTCGATCCTCAGCACCACATACAAACAAAGATGTGTGTCTGCCGAAAACTAAAAAATAAATATTAAAAAAATTCTCTCTCTCTCTCTCTCTCTCTCTTTAAAAAAAAAAAAAAGAATAAGTCTTCAACACATGAACTGTTGGGACATTCCAGATCCAAACCATAAAGGTGGTTATTGCTGTATTATGTAGCTATCAAAAAGAATGATACAAATACATACTGGTGTGGAGACCTATTATTAAGAGATAACTAGAGAGAGGTACATAATAGTATTTATGGTTATTGTGCTAGTATTACTATTCATATGAGAAAAAAGGGCAAATTTATATACCTATTACATACCCAGACTAAAAAAAATTGGGGAATTTTGATTGATTTTGAAACTTAAGATAACCTGTGTACAACAGAGTATCACACTATTTTTCTTGCTCTTCCTACCATTTGTTTTATTAGCATCTTTATTCTTCCTGTTCCATTCAATAGAAATCTTGGAACCCCCCTGCCCCCACACACACACCCCTGCACTTTTGAGGTATTGGGGATTGAACCTTAGGGCCTTACACATGCTAGACAGGTGCTATACTGCTGAGCCACATCCTCAGTCCTTTTTGAATTGGATTGGATTGAATTGAATTTATTTATTTTGGTGCTAGGTATTGAACCTAGGGGCACTTAACCATAGAGCCACATCCCCAACCCTTTTTATTTTTTGAGACAGGATTTTACTAAGTTGCTTAGGGTCTTGCTAAGTTGTGGAGACTGACCTTGAGCTTGATATTTTTCTGCTTTAGCCTCCCAAGTCACTGGGATTACAGGTGTGCATAAACCACGCACTTGGCTAGGAGCAATCCTTTTTAAAAAAATGTGTATGTATGTTGCTTTTGATTTCCCAAATGGAGTAAGTTCTCAAAGGAAGGAGGCATCTCTTAAGATTTTATCCTATAGTGAGTAGCATAAGATTTGCTTATTAAACATTCAACAAAGATGAGAAAGAAAGACTCTTCTATAAAAGGAATGATTGTTTTTTTCTGACACATCTTGCATACTTCTCTAGCAGGTTGTTTCTTCTCTTTGACAGACTTAAGTGTGTTGGGGGCTTGGGGAGTGGGGGAGGGGTGGGGAGAGAGGAAAGTAGGGGATGAGGAGAGGAAGGAGAGAAAGAAAGAGAAAATGAATTTGTGAAATGTTTCCTGCTGAAAGCCCAGGAAAGCAGCAGAAGACAGATTGGGGCCTAAAGTCTCTGGTCAAATAGTATGTAGTTTGAGACTTCTGTGTCATAGCCCTAGGAGAACCTCAAATTTCCATCCTCTTTCTAGTATCAGGCCTGGATATTTAATCAGGTTAGCAGGTCAGCTGAACCTGAATGTTCCTTTGACGTCTTAAATTCAATAGCACATAGTAGGAATATGATAAAAAGTAATTATGATCAAAAGTGATTTTTTTAATAAATTTTTTTAATATTTATTTTTTAGTTTTAAGTGGATACAATATATTTATTTATTTATTTGTTTATTTGTTTATTTATTTATTTATTTAGTCAGTCAGTCAGTCAGGGATTAAACCCAGAGATACTTTACTGAGCTACATCCCCAGCCCATTTGTATTTTATCTTTTCAGGGTCTCACTAAATTGCTTAGGGCCTCACTGAGTTGCTGAGGCTGGTTTTGAACTTGAGATCCTCCTGCCTTAGACTCCTAAGTTGTTGGTGTTATAGGTGTGGGCCACTGTACCTGGCTCCTCCATCCCTCTTGTATCCCCTTTTCACCCTGTGAGTGACCTGGCTTCTGGAAAGAAGAGGGAAAGGATGAGGGAGGATGGGGAAAGTTAAAGAACTTGGGAGGGTGTGTAGATGTGCTCTCCTTATTCTTTTTTATTTATTTATTTATTTTTAAAATTTTTTTAAACATTTTTTTAGAGAGAGAGAGAGAATTTTTTAGTATTTTTTTTTAGTTATCGGCGGACACAACATCTTTGTTTGTATGTGGTGCTGAGGATCGAACCCGGGCCGCACGCATTCCAGGTGACGTGCTACTGCTTGAGCCACATCCCCAGCCCCTCCTTATATTCTTTCTGGAACAAAGTATGGGGAAGAAGATATGTAAGTGGGTGGGAGAACATACACACTACCTGTACCACTTTCCTAGCACTTAATCTGAACCCTTGTTTATTATTAACCATCTCTTTATGTGCTAATCCTCTCTCACAGAGTATAAGCATGTATATGTGTAAAATTTTTTTTTTTTTTTTTTTTGTATTGGGGATTGAACCTAGCGGGTGCTTTCTTTACCATTGAGCTACATTCCCAGGCTTTTTTTTTTTTTTTTTTTGAGACAGGGTCTCACTAAGTTGCTTAAGGCCTTAGCCTTTTGAATTGCTGGGAGAGAGAGAAAAAAATAAAAAAGAGAGGAAAAAAAAAAAAGAAAGTAGCACATGACTTTCTATAGTTTTAATCACACTGGGCATTGCAGGGTTTTTTTTGGTACTAGGTATTGAACCCAGGGCACTCAACCATTGAGTTACGTCCCCAGCTCTTTTTTATATTTTATTTTGAAACAGGGTCTTGCTAAGTTGCTTAGGGCCTTGCTAAGTTCCTGAGGCTGGCTTTGAACACACTATCCTCCCGCCTCAGACTCCCGAGCTGCTGGAATTACAGGTGTGCACCACCATGGCTGGCTGGCATTGTGTTTTTTGTCTTATCCATCCTACAGGTGATATATCTTATCCGTCTAACAGGTCACATGATAGTCAAGAGTAAAGAAGGTGTCTTTGGAACTAGCTTCTTATAGCCTGAATTCTGACTCAACTGCTTGTTGTGTGACCAAGTCATTTACCTTCCTCTGTCTGAGTTTCATCTTTAGTAAAGTAGGGATGATAATAGCACCTATTTTAAAGGATTATTATAAGGAATAAATCAGTTCAATTAAAATGTTTAGAATATCAACTGGGGTATAACACTCAATAAATATGATTTAATTTGTATTTTTTGAATATAAAAGATTGAACATCTTTACAAATATATTTTGGATTTTGTATTTTTCTCTTTGACTTATTCATGTCCTTTGAACATTTTTCCAATGATTTTTTTCTTTCTTTCTTCCTTTTATTTCCCCCGCCCAGTGCTGGAGGTGGAACCCAGGGTAGTACTGTAGTAAACCTGTTTTGCTTTGTCTTTGTCCTCATCATCTCTTTTCAGAACTCTAGTTCCATTCTTTAACTCAAGATGGAGGTAAGGTGATTCTTATATAACAGAGCACTTACATGTCCTGTTGGCAGCTGCTGCCTGACAGAAACAATAATGACGGGTGATTAACCTTTACATAGAATGCATTATAGCATAGTCTGGAGCACTGACACACATAAGCCCCTTATTATGAGTTTGATGCTCTGTTAGGTCCATTCCCCCAAAATTCATATACACATCCAGAACCTCTGAATGTGATCTTATTTGGAAATAGGGTTTTTGCAGATATAATCAAGTTTCAGATGATCCTATTGGCAGATCCTAATCCAATGACTTTCTAAGGAGAGAGAGAGATACAGTTGGTCACATGACAGTGGAGGCAGAGATTAGAGTTATGCTGCTATAAGCTCAGGAATGGCTTTGCACTCCAAGGATTGCCAGCAACCACCAGAAACTAGAGACGGCAAGGAAGAACTCCTTAGAGCTTTAAGAGGGAGTGTGAGCCTATTGACACCTTAATTTCAGACTTGTAGCTTCCAGAACTGTGAGATAACAAATTTCTGTTTTAAGCCATCCAATTCATGTCAATTTGTTGTAGCAGACCTAAGGAACTAATATATGCTGTTACCATCATCTCCATGTTCAGATAAAGAAAACAGAAACCCAAAGAGGTGAGGTACTTTGAGATCTCTGTAGATACTGCTCTGATTTTCTGGCTCCTGCTGATGCTCTTGTTGGCTTTCCACCTTCCCCAACTTCTGGCAGTGCCAGAACTGAGCTCCTGATATGTCTCCCTTGTCTAACATATCAGGCCATAGCCTTTCACCAGTTCTTACCCACTTCATATTGTAGTGCAGAAACTCATTTCAAGAGACTTCTGATGGTATCCTGACCATTATAATCAGTCTCTTTTTCACAGCTTTCCTCCTTTTTAAATTATTTTTCATGCAGTCAGAGACCTGATGTGACAAGATTGGGGATATCC